TGGTGTGAGTCGTTCGGGCCCCTCGTCCTGGTGTGAGTCGTTCGGCTCCTCGTCGGGGGCCTCTGTGGGCCTCTTAGGGGTCTCTTGGGGCCTCTTGGGGGCCTCTGGGGGGGGCCTCTTGGGGGGGGCCTCTTGGGGCCTCTTGGGGGCCTCTTGGGGCCTCTTGGGGGCCTCTTGGGGCCTCTTGGGGGCCTCTGGGGGGCCTCTGGGAGGCCTCTTGGGAGCCTCCTGGGGGCCTCTTGGGGCCATCTTGGGGCCTCTTGCGACCTCCTCAGAAGCGCAAGTGAGAGCTGCCCCCTGAGAAGGACAAAATGAGGCCAAAACCTTTGTAAAATCAATGATTTTGCGATGAAGGACGATGAGCGCTGCCCCCTCAGAAGGCCAAAATGGGGCCAAAACCGTAGTAAAATCAATATTGTTTCGCTCAAAGACGAGCTGAGGGGCCAAACTCCCCCCCCCCCCTCGGGGCCAGAATCCTCGTGAGGGTCGTCGTTTTTTTGGCCCTCCCAGGAGTCGAAAAAGACCCCCCTGCCACCACCCCGGACTCCCTGTCCAGGTCCAGGGGGAGGGGGTAGAGGAGGGGTAAACCCCTCCCCGAAGGGGAAGAAGGGGGGTTGAGGACAGAGCGGGCTCTCTAAACCACTCACGCCCAAAGGGCTGGTGGGATTTAGATTCCGAACGATTGTCTAAGGATTCTCTTGGATTTCTCCGGATACCCTAAGGATTCCACAGGAATTCCCTAGGGATTCCTCTGCAAACTCTTAGGGATTCCCGAGGAATCCTGGATGAATCTGCAGGATTATTGAAGGATTTCTCCAGGGTCCCGAGGGATTCCACGGGATGTCCGAACGATTCCTCCGGATTCGAGATGGATTCCTTAGGGATTCGCCCCTTGGGGATTTATCCCCCAGGGATTCCTCAGGATTCCCTATGCAATCTTCAAGGATCTTTTTGGGATTTCCGAGGGATCTCCTAAGAATTCCCCAGATTCCCTCGGGATTCCCTAGGGTTTCTTTATAGTGTTTTTTCCGGATTCCGTGAGGAAGTATTTCCAGGAATCCCGAGGGATTCATAATGTCCACGGCATTCCCCAGGGCTTCATCCCCTAGGGATTCAGCAGGATTCCCCAAAACGGGTCCCCTGGATGTTCGAAGGATTTTGATGGGATTCTTTTGGTTTCCATAGGGAGTCGCTAAGGATTCCCCAGGATTCCCTCGGGATTCCAGGCTTTAGATGGCGTTTTGCTTCGCTCTTCATGTCCGTGTCCAGTTCATAGCGGAACGAACAATGACATAAACATAATAATTCGGAGGTCCGCGCGGATTCCTCGGATCAGTGCTGGGGCCCCCTGGCGGCGCCTCCGGCACCGCCCCTGGGGCGCTCCGCGCGCCAGGGAGAGGGGTCCAGCGCCGATCCGAGAAATCCGAGTGGACCTCTGAGTTTGTACGTTTATGTCATTCTTCGTCCCCTTAATCCTGTCCATTTGCGATTTTTGGTTCCAGCTGCCTACGGCGAGTCCCGCACCGTGCCTGGGCTGTGGGCGTGAAGCTTCTTGGATATTTGCTGGGATCTCGTGGGAGGCCCCTCGGGGGCCTCTTGGAGGCAGTTTTGAAGCCTCTGGGGGGCTGCTTTAGGGGCCTCTTCTGGGCCTCTTGGGGGCCTCTGGGGGACCTCTTGGGGGCCTCTTAAAGACCTCTTGGGCCCTCTTAGGGCCTCTCGGGTGCCTCCTGGGGCCTCTTGGGTGCCTCTTGGGGCCTCCTGAGGCCCTCGGTGGGCGGAATGCTCGACTTTTCCATTCGTGTTTCCCATCTTGGGCCCCTTTGGGGTCCTCTTGGGCCGTCTTGGGGCGCTCTTAGACCGTCTAGGGACCCTCTTGGAGGCCTCTTGGTCCGTTGGTGGATATTCTTGGGGGCCTCTTGCCGTCTTGGAGTGTCGGAAAGCCGAAAACCCGAGAACGCCACAATCCGTCAAAAACCAATGAACAGTCACTGATGTTTGCCTCTGGGGGCCCTTTTGGCAGGCCTCTTGGTCTCCTTTTGAGGTGTCTCGGAGACCTCTTGGGGCGTCTTAAGGCCATCTTAGCCGTCTTCGAGCGATCGTTCGGCGACTCGGGGTCCTCTTGGACCATCTTGGGGGCCTCCTGGGCCGTCACGGAAGCCTTGGAGAGCCCCCGGGAGGCGCCATGGCCGCCCAGGGACCCCCTGGGAGTAGGGGTGGTGCGGTCACTTGGGCGCGAGGGGAGGATTGGGGGGTCCCTTGGAAGACTACAGAGACCCTGCCAAGCAGCCTTGGGCATTCTTCCACGCCTCAGCGTGCCGAAGGCACGGTGGGGGTTGGAAGTCCCATGTTTAAGTCGGGCATGTCCCCCTGCAGGAGGAAGACTCAACCACCGTCAGAACATAGCGTGGGAACGATGTTTCGATTATTGTTCGACCATACTTGAACCGGCCCTGCGTATGTCTGCCAGATGTCATCCCAACTCCGCCCCCAGGAGGGAGGACACGCCTGCCCTCATCCCAGATGCACCCTGCCGAGCTCCTTGCATGCCAACAATGGCCTGCACGGCCACGGGAGACCAGAG